CACAATGCCTCCAATACAAATATAGCTATTTTATTTACTACCTAAAACCACCAGTGAACCTAAATGTGTCGTCTGAGTTTTTATATGTTAATGACAGTAAAATAGTGGAACATTTCCCTGCGTGAATGGCTTGACAGAAATTTACAGATCACTAATAAGTGAGTAATGGTACAGTAATATTACAGTAACAAGTTGTACTAATTAGTCTAGTTGTTACTTAAAAATAAGTTAGTAATGGTGGTAACTAGTTAGTAATAAAATTATAAATTGATGGTAATAAACTTTCACCGCTAATAAATATAATTTGGTTGAATTGAGTTTATGCAAAATAATTAATTGGTAACTATTCCAGTAAAATTGAAAAGTGGGTAATATTACACAATTAGTCAATCATTGCATTTTGGTTAGTACATTTATATGGAATATAATATCTGCCTAATCAACAAATCACCCCAATTCTTTTAAATCACTAAGGGGTTTCATCATAATAGGGTTATAAATTCAAAACCAATTAAGTAATTCTGCTAATATGTTATTATGGCTATGAAATACAAATCCACTTGTTTTCGCTTAGTTTCTTACCTGTTATTTATTTAAAAGGCCTGGCACAGTGCGCTGTGGGTCTATGACAAATAAGGTTTTCAAATATGGCAATTTTTTAAATTCTTATTAAGAAGGACATAATATGCATTTTCACATCTGCATTTATATCTATGTGAATTTGATATCTTAAATACAGCCAGTGTTATCAAAGCTTTTAATTGCAGTTAATTTCAGTTATTTAGACTGTGCTGGTCTGGTTGTGCCACCTGACTTTTCAGACTAATTTCAAATGAAACAGGCATCTAATCTACACCCGTAGAAACCTTCCTCCTTAAACTTAAGTTTATACCTACATTTTTTCAAATAAACATTATTATAAAAATTACACATTTTCATGGTTCTTCTAAAGTCAGACCACTGACATGGTAAACTGTTCTAACAATGATTCAAAAGTGAAAATTTGCTAAAATTTGTACTGACCCTGGCACCATGAAGGTCACTTGGGGTCTTCTTTATGATACATTATCTGGTCCCCTTTTGTAAAAGCATGTCAAAATAAAAGTGCTTTTGGATGTGCCATCTGACATTTGAATAACAAAGAACTTGAAGACTTGAAGTTTTTCAGTGAGCTGAGCACTTTTAAAGTGGCCTTATTTTGCAAAATGGTTTTTATTTTAAAGTTCTCAAACATGAAATCGGGCCGAACTATTTTTTTTTAGAATTTTTTATAACTAAATGACCTTTTTTGATTTAAATGACCTTTTTTGATTTAAAAAAAAATATTTTTGGCCAAAATCTCAGGCATCAGGCAGCATATTTATAGCCATTTCATGTAATATATTTCTGTGAGGGAGCTTTTAGAGGCAGTAAACTCTTCAGACATCTGGTTCCCATCACCACCACTGTGAACAATTCTGGCCCCAGAACAGAGCAGTTTGCAGCAAACGTGAATGACTTTGCAGTTATACATACAGCTTCATTTAATTATGCAGAAAGTTATATTATTATTATAAATTCCTGTTCACAAAATGTGTAAAACACACTAAATATAACTTTTAGCGTCCATACTATTTAAATCTACTCTCTTTTATTGCAAATAATTTTAGGATGCTGAGAGAATAAAGCTCTCCTCTTATGCAAACAGGGAAAATTAATTAGTAATTAACTCAGCTAATGGGGTCAAAAAGATAAAAAAACAGAGAGACAAGGCAAACAATCACCATTATTTATTTACAATAAAACTAACGCATCATTCCTAAATTTATGGAGATAAGCCTTTCTCAAAGATATATAATAAATATTCTATATATGCCTTTGTTTTTATTGCATAAGCTACTACAGTAGCGCACACAAAGTGTCATCGTACACGTTTTGGTAATAAAACGTTCTATTTGATGCATAGAAAAACATGGGAGAAGGAAAACAAAGCAAAAGCTGAATGATATGCTAACAGCTTGTCCAGTAAACACATTACATTCTTTCCCTGTTTCATGTGTGACCACATTACACAAGGTCATCTGTGTGCATGACCGCACATCTTTGAACAAGCTTCTTTAACTGTCCTGTGTCAGACTAATCCACACACTGTATTTTGGCAGATTTATATAACATTATATAAGAATCAATCTATCGTCTCCAGCTATAGGATATCAATATTAAGGCCAAAATGTAGATTAACCCAACATGAAAACAGATTTTGAGGAATATCTGAGGATTTCACATTCCAAGGAATTTTAAAGGAATAATTTGGCGAAAACTTTTTCACAATTTTCCGTTTTATCTAGATGTGGTCAATCAGCCGGCCAAGTTCTGTGTTTAAATTATGCTTCTTTCCTTTTGTGCTGGAGTTACAAGGCTAATGTAGCTTATAAACACTAGAAGTCAATAGTCACCCAAATCCTTTCTGTAAATACATGCCCAAAACGTCTCTCAGCCAACTCAAAATGCATCCAGAGCCCCAAACTAAGAAAATTTTTTTGCTTTTTCGAAATAAAAGAGTACATAAACAATGTTACTGGGCCCGAAAAAACTGAAATCTGCTTATTAGAATCTGCTGCCAGAGGAGTTACAGTGCATTCTTCATGCCACATTACAATCAGTTTCTTTACATGTCAAAAAACGCAACAACAGCATTGAGAAATCATGAAATTAACAGAAAAGAGGAGATAAAACAGCAGAAATAGCCGTTTGGTGTCGGTCTTGAAGGGTTAAATTTCACCTTCCACTCCCCAGTCCTTACAGTCCATATATAGAAATTAAGCTGCAAACAGTCTATATTGAGTTTACTGTGTTCGTGATGTCACAAAAAACACATATATACCTATGCAGCCTACAGCAGTTAAGCTCCGCCCATTCCCATTCAGGTTTTAAGTTCTGTAGCCCAGGTGGCTTCCTGAATGAGGCACAATTCAGGGAAGCCAAACAGAACAGAGCTTGTTTACATATATCAGTCTTAAAGGCACACAAAATAGACTGTTTAAATCTAATGAAAGAATGACTGGAAAATGGTCATGAAAAAAAAGAGAGGTTTTTGTATATAAACCCACATCAGTGTCATTAGTGGACAAATAATAAGATGGAAGAAAAAAACAGGACGTGGGCCCTTTAAGGTCAAGTGGCTGCCTGTCCCAGTTTTGTTCATTTTTATAGTTGACAGTAAGTCACATTGACAAGTCAGTGCAACCTTAATGAAGACCTAGATGTGGTTTGAGCAGGTTGAGAAAAACTTTCGGGATGTATTTAAAGAAAAGATTTGGGTGACTATTGACTTCTACTGTTAGCAATATTAGCCTCGTAGCAAAATTTGAACATCAAACATTTCTTGGCTGGTTGACAACATCTGGGTAAATGGAAAACTATGTACACACAAACCATTCCTTTAACTGCCATTAATGAGCTTATAGACTTCGGAAGAAGCGGAGGCATCAGGACATTAAAAGAAAAATAAAGCAAAAGCCTCAACTACCAGCAAATATAATCCCTTTGGGAAATAAATCTTAAAACCAAAGAAAGAACTGTGACCACTGAGGAGAGAAGGAGATAAAGTAGTGAATAAACTATGTGATGAAAGCAGTGAAGCTGGTGCTTGAGAAGTCCAGCAGGTTCAAGGCAAAGTTCACGACGTCCACACAGCAGCAGCAGCCTGACTAAGCAAATCTCTTAAAAAAATAGGAACCAGTTTCTAAAGATAAAGATTGTTTTCCTCACAATAATAATGCAGAGTATTATGTTTTCATCTGGAAACGTCTCCTATAGAGAGCATTATGTCACTGAGACTGTTGCAGGAGTAGGGGGGTGTCTGTAGCGCAGTGGGAGGCACTTGGCCTGCTGTGAGAAGTCTAGCCCAAGTTTAGTAATATCAGTACTGCTCCCTGACCTGGTGTCCCGCTTTGAAACAACAACTAAACAACACTTCTGAAATCAAAAAACTGGCTGCTTTAATTATAAAATCGTTTTGAGTGGGACAACGGAAACCAGCACCCCCAACGTGTGCGCCTGAGCTTTAGCTGAATAACCCTGACACACTGTAAAAAACAAAAATGATACAGTCATTAAAAATGATCTCTGACTTACTGTATGTTGGCAAGTGAAAGCATCTTAAATGTAAGCAATATTTTAAAGTTTTCTCAGTTTCCCATTATAACACTTTGGAATATTAGATTATTCAACCTGTTTTTAGCATTTCTACTTAAAGTGATCTTATGAAGTGATTCTGCACTTGCTTGTTATTTCCAGCAAAACTGTCTGCCAGTCCATGGAGATAATTTGCTTCAATAAAATAAAAAAAATAAAAAATAAAATTCTGTAACACTTTCTATGAATGTCACCTTTGTAAGCATCTATAAACACATTCATAGCATGTTATAATGCATTCATAAGGCATTATAAACATGGCTATAAATATTAATAAAAATGCATTACATGTTATAGCCATGCTCATTATGCATTATGAATTGTTAACATAATACATTATAAGTACTGATCATAACAAATTATAAGAGCTCATAAGCCGTATTTGTCCGCTCTAAGTAAAGTGAAGCGTACTGTACTAAAGCCTCCTCCAGTGTTAAGAGTGAGGCTTCAAGTTGAAGTATTTACTGAACAATTTAATGAAACACTAAAACATACATAATAAAGCACATTACAGGCTTCAAATGTCAGAGTTTAAACTAGTGCTGCCATCAGTGTTTTACCCAATGTGGGAAAGGTAATGTACACCACCGTTAGCTTGGTACTTGTCTTTACTTTACGCTCTCCAAGCTGGGACTGACTTCTTTGGCACTGACAGTATAACATGTTATCACCTTACTTATAATGCATTATATTAACAATTCATAATGTATAATAAACATGGCTATAAAGTGTAATCCAGTGTAATTCATTTTTATAAATGTTTATGATCATGTTTATAATGCCGTATGAAGGCATTATAACATGTTATAAATGTGTTTATAGATGCTTACAAAGGTGACATTCATAGAAAGTGTTACCATTAATTCAAATAAGTTACAATGTAAAGAAATGGGTTAAACAGGTTGAATAATCTTCCTAAAACAGTCTCACATTAGCAATACTGCCTATTTAAGATGCAGTGGAAGATCAGAAAGATGGATGGGGATTTTGGGATTTGGAAGCCAGCAGTGATCAACTAGTCTCATCACTGATGGATGATGAGAAGTTCATAGTGTAAAGAACACTTTAAGAGGCAATGGTTTCAATGCAGAGTTCTACATCATTATTTTAAAGCTCTATCATTAAATAACACAAACCATGTACACTACGGTTCATTTTTGTCCAATAGGGCCGCAAGCAGCCCAGAGTGTCTGAGATAAGCAGAAGGCTACGTCAAGGAGTGAGAGATCTTCCTCAAATCCAGTGCACGGGTTCACGTTAGCGATGGTTCAGATCTACGCTGTGGCCTCCGCAAGCCTGGTATCGTCATTGCCGTCGATAACGAGAGTTTGGCTGGACTGCTGGAGATCTTTCTCTTCCTCGGCAGTTTCCTCCACTGTTCGGCTCAAGTGTCTCTTGTAGAGAGGTGGGCTGGAAGAAGGAAAACAGACAAGTGATGATTTTAGGAAAGGCTGGTTAAACAATGAAAGAGCGACGGGCGAGCTGTTTGCTCTGGGTTGCAGGTTAATCACAGTCACCCAGGGCTTTGTCTTGCCTCAGAAAGAGGCGAAGCAGGAAGGAACCCATTCAGAAATCAATAGCAGCTGTGAGTTCATGTAGTGGTGAACAGTCTTGCTGCACCAGTGGTTCCCAATTCTGGGTTGCTGCACTGTCAGAATTCTGGGTTGCTGCACTGTCAGAAAAAGGTACTGTGGAGGTACATTTTTTGTTCATCAAGGTACAAACAATGTAAATGAACCTTCAAAGGTACAAGAATGGTTTTGAGATTCAATAGTGTACCTTAAATCGGTTTTTCCAGGGCAAAGGAATACATTTTGCTGTTATCAGAACAAAAACTTGTATCTCTAAAATAAGAACTTTATGGGAGAAGGATAAAACATACTTTACTTTTAATGTAAGTCAATGGAACCAAACATTTTTCCAAGTAATGCTGAGCCATTTATTTGGTCCATTCATCATGACATTTCGACACAATGTAAAGGGTAACAGGCATTTTCAAATTATGTCAAAAACTGAAAAATGACAAAAATGGAGATATGAGGTTTTGTTCCGACAGCAGCGATTTGTACCTTTTCAAAAACCAAATGTTTTAAAACAGAACAACATTATAAAGTTGGAGACGAGATGGTGTGTGTGGAGTCTATACAACTGCAAAGGATTATAGTGCAATTATGTTTCCTAGCTAAGAAACTAAAGATGTACCCTTGAAGGTACCACCCCAGTGACAGTGTAGTACCTTTTTTGAGTGTGGAGTACACTTGCTCTGCATAATTTTGGTGTTTTCCCTCTCTCTAACACATCTCATCAAAGTAACCTGTTCATTAACAAAACATTTCAGAATCATACTGGGTGAGCTAGTAGCTAACTAGGATAGTATAGCCCCAGTCCAAAAAATGAAGGACACTGTATGAAAATTATGGGAAAGAAGAGAATTTGCTTGTTTACTTACTACTGCTGTGTCTTAACCATGTCTTAACCATGTCTTAACTATGTCTTAACTATGTTTAACCATCAAAATGACCATTCACAACAGCCATTAAGTACAAATGAAACATTTCACGTCAAATAATTCATTACATTTAAGATAATCCACTCGCCGAAAATTCCTGATAGACACCAAGACCTGGTAGACCCCAAAACTGTCCCCATCAGATAAACAGCACTTAAAGCTTTCATCTTTGAGAGAGAGGAGAAAATCAAGCTGCTTCAGATCTGAAAACATCCACAGTCCATCCTTCCACTCTGAGAAGATAACTCAGTGCTATGGGTCTAAAAGGATGTGTAGCTGTCAAGAAGCTCTTCCTGAGAAAAGGAAAGAAGAAAATTTGCACTAGAACACTGAAAATGGACATCTGAGATGTGGAGTAAGGTTTAATGGACTGAGTCTAAATTGGTAATTGGGACTATTTGGATCGTTAGCAGCAAAAAAAAAAGCAGCCAACTTTTAAGACTAAACTTTGGACAAATAACTTGTGTAAAAATAACCCTCCAGATTTCTTTGAAAAACTTAAAGCAAGTGGGTGTTAAACTGTGTAAGTATTGATCTAAAAAGTCCAGTAAAAACGTTAGGCGGTCATGCACCTGCTGAGCTAAGGGCCCCAGTGCAATTGCTCTACATGGTCTGCCGATAGTTAAGCCACTGATTAAAGCTTGGAAAATACTAGAGCACGTGTACTCCAGGACCAGGATTGGGAACCACTAAACTACACTAAAGTCACTCCTAAACCATTTCAGACAAAGGGTTTTGCAGCATATTCATGCAACAATGAAATCAGAGAAAATTAATCTTAACTAATTCTTTTGTGCATGAATAAACACGCCTAGCTCTAATAGACATTGTTAATACCCGAGTGCAAACTAAATGGCTCAGACTGCATTAAATATTTATAAATATAGTGGGTGCAGCATCACCAGGGAACAAAAAAACATATGCTGTGGAGGTCTGGCTAAATTAACTTCTCCGGAGCTAGTGTTGTTTTGTTGCATTTGAGTCATTTATCACACAGGCCATTCAGTGTGAATTAGTATGGGCGCCTGCATGCTCAGGGCTCCCTGCTTCGCCACCCTAAACAAACCTCTTTCTGGGGAAGAAAGCAGATGATTAGATGATAAACCTAGTCTTCTTCAGGGGACACAAAATAACCCATGAAGCAAACCATGCAACAAAACAAAAGCTACATAGGAAGCTCATTAATTTCTATCTCCTCTCAATGTTAAACTTCAAACGGTGTTAGGAGTTTATGGCTGGTTGGACAAAATGCCAGCACGTCTCACCGAACAGAAATTGGTCTCAAGAACTCCTACATGCATGCAGAGTTGATGCCAGTTAGTCGTTATACTGGTGTGAAAACTATCCTACGGTCCACCATCCGGAGGTATACTGTGGTTACTAATATGTTAGTGTAACACCATGCTGTTCCTCCAGTCACCTGCTGCACGTTTTTAATCATCATCAGGCCTGTAGAGGTATTTCATCATCAGGTTGTCCACTTTCTTTTTCTTCCTCTTGTCTTCTTTCTTGCTCGGGGGTCTCTCCCCAGGACCATCTGGTCCCCTTTCCCCGTCCGATCCAATTGCACCCCTGCCTAAGCCCTTCTTGATGCTGCTGGAACTCCGGTAGGAGACGGTGGACCCAGAGCTGGAGGACGATTCGGAATCTGAGGATTCTGACTCAGATGATTCTGATTCGGATTCAGATTCAGACTCGCTCTCCTTCTTCCTGCTCTTCCTGGACCCTTTCTTCCCTTTATTCCTGGAGCTCTTCCTGCGGTCATCCTCTGAGGAGCTCTCTGATTCAGAGTCTCGTTTCTTCTTCTTCTTCTTGGCTTTGTGGCTGCTGCTTCGGCTGCGAGAGCTTAAGCTGCTGGAGGTGCGGCCATAGTCCAGTGCTGAGCCAGATGCTGAGCGGCGCAGACTGGATGTGCTTCGGCCTAGACCAGCATCGTCATCATCATCTTGCAGGGCACTCCTGAGACTGCGTACACCCGTTCGGTTGTCCTTCCCTTCTTCTGCGCCTCCCTTGTCTTGCTCTTCATCCGAGTCTTCCAGACTGCGGCGCTTGAACTTGATAGGCTTGAAGCTGAGGACTTCATTGATTGCTTTTTCCAGATCTGGGTCTAGATAGTTCCGGTGACTGACTGGTTTGATATCCGTGCCTTCCTGGCCATCTTCGGAAGAGCGAGCCTGGGCAGGGGTGGACAGGCTCCGCCCCAGAGACCGAGGGCTATAGGCCGAGACTCCACCCTCGCTGAAGGCCACACTCATAGCATCGTCATCATCATCCAAGTCCACACCAAACTCACTTAGCCGGCTACTGCGGGCCAACGACGTCCGAGAGGTAAGGCTGATGCTTCCAGGACTCCGTCCTCCTGAGCGCCGACTCAGGCCAGGACTGGTCAAAGGCCCAAAGTCGCTACGGCTGTCATCCATCCATGAGGTACTGCGGCGCAAGCTGTAGTTGCTCAGGGTGGACTTGGCGTCATCATCCTGGTCCAAGCCACGGCGCGTTGAGGCTCTGCTGGGTGCCACAGAGGACACAGTGGATTCTTTATCAAAATCTGGGCTGCTCTTGGTCCAGCGTCTGTCAAGACCTTTCCTGGCCATGCTTGTGGCCTCAGAGTAAGCTTGGGAGATGACAGAGCCCCGGTCATCTGGATCATCTCCAGCCTTCTCGCCAGATTTGTTCTTTGCTTTGCGGAACGAGGAGTGGTCCGGGGTGTCCGGCTGCTCCTTCAGGGCGCTAAAGAGGGAGCTCTCGTCCCCCTTGCCTCCGATGGAGTCCTTCAGGTTGGAGCGCTTCCTGTAGCTGAGGGAGCTCATTACAGACACTGACCTGATCTGCTCTGCATTTTTGCCATCTTTTTCTTTCATTTCCTGCCCTTCCTTACCCTCTTTCCCTTCTTTTACCTCTTTGACATCAGCATTAGCTGCGTTAGGGTATTTGAGGCTTTTAGCGGGAACGAAAAACAGACAGACATGACACAAACAAGGGAAGAAACAGTAATCAGAAACACAATGATTCAGACAGGATGGTTTGAAAATCAAAGGATATACAGTGTAAAAAATATATGATGTGAAAATTAACAAAAAGACTTTGATAGAGGAGGATAAAAGAAACAGAAAGTGAAATAAAAAAGGATTTTTTTTTTAAATAAAGAGCAAATTCTGGAAAAAGAGGCACGGTTTAGACACTTTTGACAGGAACATCCACTAGAGAGGAGCTGCGATATGGCCCTGCCCTGCCTAGCCATCGGATGCCTCAGTGAACCCCATCAGAACAGGCTCCCAATGCAATATGCTATTTGCTAAGCAGTAATCGTGTGAAATAGCCCACCACTCCGCAGAACTCCAGGTAGCACAAGCACCAGTTTTTTCTTCATCTCCTCCTCCTATGCAGTCTCGAGGAGAGCGAGATAAGGAGACTTGCTCAATCATTTCAAGCCTAGGAGGAAGGTGCTCTAATAAGCAGCTAGAGATGCTCGGTACTAACCTGGGGGTCTTCAAGCTGCCCTCGTCTGATAGAGTCTTGGTGGAGCCCTTATTCTTCGAGAGCCATGATTTCACCCCATCCACGCGGTCCTCCACCTCAGAGTCCAGGTCTGAGTCATCTCCACTGTGCGAAATGGAAAGTCTGAATGAGTGACTGTTATAACGAAAAACATTTTAGCCACACTTAGATGGTTATTCAAACATTAGAATTAGTGTTTAAATAACCAACATAACTGTTGTGTGGGTTAAGGAGTCAACTAGCAGCTGAGACGGCAAATCAAATTTGTGGAAAAGCTCGCATTCATCTTCAGATAACAAAAATTCGGGGAAGCGATTATGGACAAGGAACACATAAGAACCACAAGAACAGTGTAAAATGTAGGACAATGCTTTTTGAACATGCCCCTTCATAGCGAAGAACACAGAAAATGACAAAATGGGTAGGATGCATTGTAACCACACCAAAGGCAAGCTTACATGGAAATTCGTTTTTCCCAATGATTTGTACATGATTCAATTGTATGAACTGAATCGCTCAGTCATACAGAGTAGCTTGATATGAAATGGAGCATCGTGGAGAAACTAATCGAGTCTATACAATGGTGGTAAATGGAACCCCAGGTCTACAATACAAATATAGCCAGTTTTTTAACTATTTTGCCTTACAACATGCTGCAAGAATCTCTCCACCATTAATAGAATTTTAAAATGATGTTTTAGGCCAAAAGCTTATCTCAAACCTATCGTAAAACCATGTCTCAGGCCTCAGGCAGTGCATTTGTAACCATTTCCCATAACAACTGTTCTAAAAGGAAGCTTTTAAACTTTAGAGGCCTTAAACTTTTTAGACGTCTGGTTCCTATCAACACCACTGTGAACAGTCCTGAACTGTCAAGCTTTCTCCACCAAAGCACTCTGAATGATAATGTGTACATCTTAATGATTCCATTATACAGAAATTATAGTACAGCAGAACAGAAAATAATAGAATTCCCTTTAAATGAATATCATTATGCATGGAAATAATGATGTAGGGAAGAAACTTGGTGTTATTGTGCAGTGAGAATTTACGGCTCTTAGAACAAAACGATCCCTTCCATAAATACACATTTGAATGAACGCTTTCCTTTCCCCTCTTAAGTGTATAATAAGTCGCAATGCAGGCTGAGACACGGAATGCAAATTGCTTCTTGAAGGCACAATTAACTGCGCCAGCATTGCCGGCCTATGGTAATGGTGTTCTGTCTCTAAGTCTCTCTTAGAATATTGTTACCGAAGCTCCACTAGTACCATGCAACTCAGCACAATCAATAACCAGCAGAAAACGAATGAGAGGGAGAGGGAGGGAAAGAAATCTACAAAAAGTCCTCTCAATCCATTCTCATTTAAGCGCCATTGACATCTGGACTGACGTTAACAGCCAACAGCCATCTCTGAGTACGATGACATGAAAGATTTAACATGCTCTCTTTTCTTCAGTTCTTGTCAAAACAATAGCATTTACCATTCCTCTCCATTTCTCTGTATTTACAGTCTTAGTCTCAGTTGGTCCATGAAGTAATATTGTTATTGGCTGGTCACAGTGGTACCGCTATTGAAAACCCTTAGGTGAACTGGTTTTGACATTGCCATCTATTGGCGAGACCTAATGGCCAATGGCTTGCCAGCGGCTTGAAATCTAATCCAATCAGCTTTGTGGACAGTTCTCAAACAGCAGTCCTGTGGTTTCTGAAAGATTTTTTTTCATGCCTTAGCAGCCATAAAACATTATAAAAATACGATTATTCTTTACATTTATACAATTCAGAACACTTTACTGTGCAATTAAACTCATACCACTGGTCTGTCATCATCACATAGCGTGCCAATCTGACCTATGATCATCTTTCACCCACTTATGCTGTACTCCTAATCCACAAAACCATCTGTGTACCACCTATGAATGGCTATACAGCATAAAAAGGCAAATAAGGCCAATTTGCAATTTCCAATATTTTGACTAGAGCATTATTGATATATGCATATAGCTGCATATATTCATGTGCATCAAATTACTTCCCTAGAAAGGATTCCAGTGGATGTGTGAATCTTGGATGTACAGTCAACCTCTAAACGTTTAAGGGCAAGTTTTGTTTGTGAGGATTTGATTGCATACAGCCACAAGAGCATTAGTGAGGTCAGGTACTTATGTCAGTTCTGGACACTCCAACTCATCCCAGAGGTACTGGATGGAGCACCATCACTCAGGAGAAAACAGTTCCACTGCTCTACAGTCCAATGCTGGGGGGCATTGAGAATGGTGACCTTAGGCTCATGTGCAGCTGCTCCATAGCATCCCATTCTACTGACAATGCTTTTCTATGGAGATTATAAAAGCTTTGTGTGCGCATCTCGAAGGTAGGGGTGTCTATAAAGCTTTGGAAATATAGTGTACTTGCGATGTTTCTCCTCTTTAAAACACTATGCAAAACACCAATTGGCTCTATATGGTCCTCCCCATCTTTTGTGAGGGTACAGTACTTTTTAAAAGTCTGGAACCACCCTTTAATTTATTTAATTTTTAGTCAAAATGGCCATTAAGTACAACTAATTATTTTCACAGGAGATAAAGTGCCCTCAACAAATATTGGCACAACTGGTAATCATGAGCAAAATGATCCATAAAAATATTCTTAATTACTTATCCTTTTGATCTTTCATTCAAAATATTAGCAGAAATCCAACCGTTAAGGTTTTAAGGTATAATGAATGACAGTAAAAACAAAATTTTGTCATGAAATAAATATTTTTCCTAAGTCTATGTGTGCCACAATAGTTGGCACCCCTAGAAATTCTTCAGAGTGAAATCTAACTGAAGTATTCATTCATATTTTATGGTTTTTAGTTCACCGGAGCGATTAGGAACACTTAAATGGTCAGCCATGACTTGTTTCACTAAAGAATATATATGAGATGAAACACAGGCCAAAACTCAGTCATCCATCATGATGAGAAAGACCAGAGAAAACAGCAATGATGTGCGACAAAAACAAGATTGTTGAGCTGCACAAATCAGGAAACGGCTACAAGAAAATAGCTTAACAGTTGAAACGTCCCATTTCTACTATCAGAGCAATAATTAAGAAGCTTAAAACAACTGGACATGTTAAGAATCTGGCAGGAAGAGGACGTATGGTTCAAGTGGACAAAGAATCTCCAAGATTCACAGATGGGGAATTGCAGACATTGTTGGGTCAGAACGTCAGAACGTCTCCCAAACTACAATCAAACACCACCTATATAACCACAAGTTGTTTGGGGGGTTGCCTTAAGGAGGTCTCAGCTTTCAAAGACCAACAAACTCAAGCATCTAGAGTTTGCCAGACATTACTGGAATTTCAGTGCGACCGTGTTCTGTGGTCAGATGAGATCAAAATAGAGGGATTTGGCAACAAACACCAGAGGTGAGTTTGGCATGGACACCAAGATAGCCATGCAGAAAACTACCTCATCCCCACTGTGAAGTGGATCTATGATACTGTGGAGCTATTTTTCTTCCAAAGGCCCTGGACAGCTTATTCAGATACATGGTATCACAGATTCCATAAAGTACCAGCAGAAATAAAATCAAAACCTGACTGTCTCCAGCAGGACAATGATCCAAAATACGCCTCAAAATCAACACAAAACTGTTCACTGACCACAGAATTGGGGTTTTGCCATGGCCACTGTAGTCCCCTGACCTAAACCCCATAAAAAAATCAGTGGGATGAGCTGAAGATGAGAGTTCACAGAATCTGAAGGATCTGGAGAGGTTCTGCATGGAGGAATAGTCTCAGATCCTTTGCTATGTGTTCTCCAGTCTCATTAAACATTATAGGAGAAGAATCAGAGCTGTTATGTTTGCAAAGCGAGGTCACACAAAGTACTGAAGTGATGCCAACAATTGTGGCACAAACAGATTTTGAGAAAAATATTTATTTCATAATAAGATTAAGATTTTTTTTCAATCATTGTCATTGCTGTTTTGCACATGTTTACCAGGGTGCCAACATTTGTGGAGGGCACTGTATTTCTGAGGAGGCAAGCTATAAATAACCCACTTGTATAAGGACAACAAAAGTCGAAGGAAAACAATTGAAAAAACAGGAGTTTCAAAACTGGAGTTCAAAAAATGATTAGAAGATACAGAGAAAATGGGACTCCTAACGACCACCTGAAACACCTGGTTGACACCAAAACTGTCCTCATCCCATAAACAGCTCTTAAAGCTTTAAGTTTGCTTCAGATCTGAAAAAAATCCACAGGTGTTTCTGCCATTGCTGAGACGACGAAGTGGACAAAAAAAAAACACAAGAAAAAAGGCAAACTAAACAAAGCAGCAGCTGGAGTTCTCAGAATAATGGACACACTGAACACTGATGCTTTACGCTTTTTTCTGATGTTGAAAAATAGCTTGTGCTTAATGGCAGCTTTGACTGGAAATTAAATAAATGAAAGGTGGTCTCTGAATTCACACAGTACTGTACGCGCCCATTAAGGACAAAGTAGTTGCAAAGGGCAGTTACTATACACTGTCATTAGCTCTTAGCACTTTTCCGCATTCATACACATTTTCAAAAGATGCACTAAAGCATACAGCCAGCGGTTTCTGACAGGTGTTACAGGGATAACAGTCTGTCCTTTACAATCCCCCCAGGAGAGAGGAAGGTGAAGCACTGTTATGCTTGCTGTAATCTGTGATCTTTTTGGCGCCTGAAGCAAGATTTGACATTCCATCGTAGTCTGTATACACCATTACCCTTCCCTCTGGCCAAAAAAAAAAATCTCAATTCTGGGAGTGAAATCATCTTGTTTTCTCCCACCTGCCAGCCTTCCTGCTCGGCCACGAAACAGTGAAACAGTCTCCCAATGACAAACGCCCATACACTATTTCCAAACCTATCACGGCCTATTTTCTTCAGTTTCTAACACCTTCCGGGAAATGTGAGAAACGGTGTAAACAGCATGCTGAATAGGTTCCTCAGAGGCTCATAATAATACTCCGAATTCCTTCCAACAGAGCTGCTCTCGGAACAAAACCTCTTCTTTCAAATTTTTGTCATTTTTCAGTTTTGGACATAATTTGAATATGACTGTTGTCTT